TAGTATGTCTGAAATTCTTAAAAGATATCAGCAACTTCGAGTCAAATACAAGAACCTGAAACACGTTCTTGTATCCGAAACTGAAGAAACTAGGAAACTAAAAACAGAAAACTCTAAGCTAAAAGAAATTAATTCTAAACTTATAAATAAAAATTCCTTCACTAAATATGAATTACAAAAAGCTCAGAAAGAATTTGTTTCAGAAGTTACAACTAGTTCTGATAACATCATAAAAGAATATGATTACAGCTTTTGAAAATTTCTAGCTAGAAACATAGATAGAAGCAAGATGGCTTAGATGATTTATGGAGTTAGTAGAAACGACAGAAAAGGTATAGGATATGTGAAACCAAAAGGGGAAGAACCATATCAACCAAAGCAAGTTGATAACATGCCATAAAATACACACCCCTAAATTCACATTTCACATATGGATACACACATGACATAAAATACACTAGTGAATCTTATTCTATGAACTCTTATGATAAACCAAAATTCAATCAAAATTCTAGAAACTCTAACCAAAAAGGACCCAAAAAGATATGGGTACCTAAGGATAAAATCATCTATGTTGCAGATGTCTTTAACAGCAAAGTTGAAACACCAGTCTTGGTACCTGGACTCTGGATGCTCTCGACACATGACGGGAAGAAAACATATGTTCCAAAGTCTTGAAATTAAATATGGAGGCTATGTAGGTTTCGGAGGCAATAAGTCTGGAACTATTGGTAATGGTACACTTCCTTCTATAACTAATGTTCTCTTAGTAGATGAATTAAAGCATAATCTGTTATCCATAAGTCAATTAAGTGACAACAAATATGATATAATCTTTAATCAAAAGTCCTGTAATGCAGTTAGTCAGAAAGGTGGAACTATGCTTTTTAATGGTAAGAGAAAAGAACAAATTTTTTAAGATTAAACTTTATAAACTAAAGAATCAGAATGTAAAATGTCCTACGTCTGTTAACGATGAGAAATGTGTCTGGCACAGAAGATTGAGGCATGTTAGTATGAGAAGAATATCTCAGATTAACAAACTCAATCTAGTCATAACACTTCCTAACTTGAAGTTCAGATCAGATGCTCTGTGTGAAGTATGTCAAAAAGGCAAGTTTGAAAAACCCTCTTTCAAATCTAAAAATGTTGTTTCTACCTCTAGACCATTAGAACATCTACATATAGATCTGTTTATACTAGTGAAAAATGCATCCATCAGCGGCAAGAAGTATGGGTTAGTGATCGTAGATGACTATAGCAGATGGACATGGGTAAAGTTCTTAAGACACAAGGATGAGTCACACTCTGTGTTCTCTATGTTCTGTAACCATGTTCAGAATGAAAAAGAGATTAGAATTGTAAAAGTCAGAAGTGATCATGATGGTGAATTGGAAAATAAAATTTTTGAAAAGTTTTTTATGAAAGTGGCATTTCTCACGATTTTTCTTGTCCTAGAACTTCCCAATAAAATAGAGTTATAGAATGAAAGAATAGAACTTTATAAGAAATAGCCAGAACCATGATCATTGAGACTAACCTTCCTAAACACTTCTGGGCAGAGGTAGTTAACACAACATGCTACATTCAGAATAGAATCTCTATAAGACCTATTATGGAAAAGACTCCATATGAATTGTGGAAGAACAGAAAGCCCAACATTTCTTACTTCCATCCATTTGGATGTATCTGTTATATGTTGAACATAAAAGAACATCTAAATAAGTTTGATTCTAAGGCACAAAAGTGTTTTATGTTAGGATACTCTAGACACTCAAAAGGTTATAGAGTATATAACACAGAAACATGAATTATGGAAGAATCTATTAGTGTCAGATTTGATGATAAGCTTGGTTCTAAAAAGTCAAAGCAAGTTAAATGTTTTGCAGATATAAAAGTTCAAACTACAGTACTAAAGATAGATCTTCTGAAGACAAAACTCAAAAACTCAGTCCAAAGCATAAAAAGACATCAACACCAACACTACATAAAATTTTGAAGAACCCATCCAGAAAAGACAGTCTAGAAGCAGATTAGCACATCCTGAAGATGTTATTCTGGGAAAGAAGGATGATCCAATCAAAACAAGATCTACGTTTAGAAATACTGAAGAGTCTCTCATGGGTTTGGTATCTCCAATCGAACCAACCTCCATAGACGAAGCACTTCAAGACAATGATTGGATACTTGCAATGTGGGGGAAACTAAATCAATTTACCAAAAACGATGTATGTGATCTAGTTCAAAAATTAAAAGGCTTCAATATCATTGGAACTAAATGTGTTTTTAGATACAAGCTAAGCGAATATGGAAAAGTCATAAAAAACAAGGCACGACTTATTGTACAAGGTTATAGTCAACAAGAAGGGATAGTCTATACAGAGACCTTTTCTCCAGTCACCTATTTAGAATCTATCAGACTTTTAATTTCATTTGTTGTAAATAATGACATCACTTTCTATCAGATGGATGTCAAAAGTGCCTTTTTAAATGGTTACATTAATGAAGAATTACATGTGCACCAACCCCCTGGCTTTGAAAACACAAAACATCCAGAGTATGTTTATAAACTTAAGAGATTATTATATGGCCTAAAACAAGCTCCCAGATCTTGGTATGAAAGACTCTAACTTTCTCTTAGAAAACGAATTCACCAGAGGGAAAGTGGAAAAAACTTTACTCTGTAAAACATTTAAAAATGACATTCTGATCTCTCAAATTTATGTTGATGACATTATATTTAGATCTACTAAAGCCTCGTTGGGCAAAGAATTTTCTAAGATTATGAATGCAAATTTTGAAACGAGTCTAATGGGAGAACTAGAGTTCTTTCTGGGAATTCAAATTAATCAAACTCCAGAAGGAGCCTTTATACATCAAAGCAAATATGTTAAAGAACTTCTGAATAAATTTGACATGCAGAAATTAAGCCATCCAAAAATCCAATGCATCCTACATGTACTCTGGAAAAGGATGAGGTAAGTAAGAAAGTAGAAAAAACACTCTACAGAGGTATGAGTGGTTCTCTCCTTTATTTAACTACTTCAAGAAGTGATATTCTCTATAGTGTTTACATGTGTGCTAGATTCCAATCATATCCCAGAGAATCTCAATTAACAATAGTTAAGCGAATTTTCAGGTATCTGAAAGGTACTACTAATCTTGGTATGTGTTATAGAAAATCCAGAGAATATAAATTAGTAGGATACTATGATGCTGACTTTGCTGGTTATAGAATAGAAAGAAAAAGTACTTCTGGAAGCTGCTGGTTTCTAGGAGACAACATAATATCCTAGTCCAACAAAAGACAATCTACCATTGAACTATGAACTACTGAAGTTGAATATATAGCTGCAGTTGGATGTAGTACTCAGATACTCTGGATGAAAAGTCAGCTTGAAGATTATCATATATATGAGAGTAACATTCCTATCCTATGTGATAATACTTCTGTTATTTGTCTTTCTAAAAATCCCATTTTACACTCTAGGGCTAAACATATAGAAATTAAAAACCATTTTATTAGGGACTATACTCAGAAAGGGATTATTTTCTTAAAATTTATAAACACCGACCATCAATGGGCTGACATTTTTACAAAACCTCTTGCTGAAGATAGATTTAGTTTTATTCTAGACATCCCTGTCATACCCCAAATCCGTCCTACCTTTTTCACTTTTATCTGGCTTAGGCTTTGTATTTCATTTGCATCATTTTCATTATGTCAATCACACATTATTCGTTCATTCAATAAGGTAGTGGCTCAAAACATCAATGGTTGTACCAATTGGGGTTTAATTTTTGTTAAGGCTTCTACATTCTACAAGTTGTTTTCCCCGGTTCCTCCTTGAGCAGTGGAATCTGGAATTAGGGTTATCCTGAATTTCCTTCTCATCAATCTACAATGCATTCAACTGGTTTTATTTCCAAGGGCTTGGATACGGATGTGATGAGTCTTATAAGTTCCATTATCTTTGAGATTTCTCAGGATCAATCAAAAGAGACAATTGAAAGGATGTCACATATTTGAATTAGAGGACTACAAATTAGGGTTTTGAGCGTATTGTCTAATCGATTGTGGCTTAAGGAGCAAGACATTATGGATTTGAGGTTCAAATTTGAGTTAGGGTTTGTTTCATCATTGTGGATTTATTTCTCCTTAAGATACAAGGAAATTTTGGAGTAAGGTTTATTTCTCTATTGTTAATCAGGAGATTAAGGTTTCGTTTCAAAGAGCATTATCCTTCTACGCTTCGAGCCTCACTTATATTTTTACAAGGATATCCTTTTAAAGTTCCGTTTTATGAAGAAGAAATCCATCAAAGTAAAGGTTGACGGTGCGAGTTACAAAAGCTTGACGCATGATACAAGAGATGTTGATTGTACACTTATTTTATGATCAAGACATGATTGCTCACTCAACTGTTTGTGGCTTGCAAATACAAATAGGTCTAGAATCTGGTTTTAGGTTTCATTGAGAAGTGAAGTTGGATTCATTCAGTCAAGAGATCTTTTGAGTAAGGTTTTAAGCGTGCAAGAAAGAAGAATTCATTCACGAGGTTCTCTTGGAAAACAAGATGCACGTGTTAAATCTCAACAAAAAGTTACATAATTAAAAGATTCAAATTCAAGCTATAATTCAAGTTTGCTCAAATTTAAAAATATCATTTCGCACTACTCCGCTCATCATTTTAAATTTCATCCAGGAGTATTCATCAAGATCAAGTTAGTTCATTCATGGATTTCAAGATTAAAAATTATCATTCCATTGTTTCAAGATTTACAAAGCTGCATGCACTAATTGAAGATTTACAATGTTCAAGAAGAAATGACAAGTATTTTAAGTCTGGATTAAAATGAGTTTTAATCTAAAAAGGGTTACAAGAAATTCCTAAACCTATTTTAATCCTAATTTACAAGCCATGACAAATCCTTCACCAATCTTCATGCTTCATTCAAATGATCCTATAGCAGCCCTATCTCTTTATTTTTTAAAACCTTCAAAATGCCATCATCAAGTTCGAAACATGCCTAAATAGGTTCATCTTTCCATCTTGCCATAATACTTGCTGCTTCCCAATGAAAATTGGTGTAAAACCGACGCAAGTCAGCTCACCAAAGCCTTTAGAAAACCTGTAAAAGTCATGCAGCAAACCAATACATTCACTCCAAATTGCCTTGTATGAAGAACCAATAACCAAAAAAAGTTTATTAAACCAGTTGAACATACAAACCTTAAACCTACTGTCAAAATTCCTTGTCCCTATCTTAGACAAAACTATCCCAAAACCCTCCAAAACTAGTCCAAATTCCCTGCTTTCAAAGAAGCCCTATGCAGCCCTCCATCACACTGCAAACCAGTCAAAAAATCAGCCCAAGAAACCTGTCAAAACAAGCCAAACAAAACTGTCTAAAATGACCTCCAAATAAGGCCAAATACCTGTACATATCGGTCCAAAAACCTGCAAAACCAGACCTACTCCCCTGCTTCAAAGAATTACACTAAATCAAATCACACTAAACTGCATCAATAAAATAAGAAACAATATGCCAAATCTGTTCAAAATTTATCCCATTTTACCCCTTAAATGCTATCATTCTGAACTATAAATTGGGACTTCAACCAGAGGAAAAGACAAAGACCAATAGAATTTCCAAAACCCTCGAGAAACATCATACATCTCTATGCTAAATCACACAAGGAAATTTACAGAAAAAACACTCTTATCCACTCAAAAACACTCTACGTACACCTTCAACCTCGATTTCCCTGCAATCTCTATTACAACCTCTTTTCCATTCTCGCTGATATCTCAACTCCTTGCAAAACCAGAACCCTAATCCTCCACTGTAACCTCAACCTTCATGTTTCACTAAACCTGTCTTTAGCCTCCCATACAACTAAACCAAACTGCATCATCAACTTATCCCCACACTCCACCCCTACTCTGTTCAACTAAACCTCACCTAAGTATACTCTCTGCAAAACTCTCAACAACGAGATCAGACCCTACAACAAATCCAATTTTACCTCATCACACCATACTAATTCTTCCTAAACTGCAACCTGCATCGCCCCATTTACCAACCATTTGACAAACAGGAATTTACCAAAGGAAGTAAAATATTGGAATAAGAGATTTGCGCTAATAAATTACCATACTTTGGAGCATACCACTAGGTTTATTCCAACACCGTCTTCAATATATTGCAACGACCACCGGAGCAAGCCTTAGTTCTGTTGGTAGGTTCATCTTCTTTACTCTTTCTTTCTTGATGCATCAGAAAAGTCTGAACCTTGCTGAATGTTTTCCCAAAATCAATTCCTTGAAATCAAATATCATAACGTTGAATTCCTTTTTGAATGAGATCGATAGAATTCGGGAGATGTTGTTATTGTTATTTATAGTATAATAAAATGAATTGAGTTCACTGTTGTTTACTAATTTGAGCGAGAGATTGACAGAGTGATACAGAGAAATTGTGAGAACAGGAGCAAGATTTTGAGAGATATTGGTTGAGAGAAAACTGGAAAGAAAGTTAGTTGTCGTTTTTCTCAATCGGTAAGAATAGAGATGATGGTGAGAGAAGGATCGTGTGATTTAAGAGGAGAGAGGATAATGTTTTTGCTTTAGTTAAGTTATTGGGAATTAAGAAAATTAATTAATGCTGACCCTTTCCAATACACCAGCGGCTTATTCCTTCATAATTAGGGTTTCAAAAGCCTCTCTATTCCCTCTAAAGCGGATCTGGGTTTGGACTTTTTTTTAGCCCAACCCAATTCATAAGTTTCAATTTTTATAGTTTTAGAAGAGGTAGAATAAATGATTGAATTGCATGGTGCAATGGTTATCGTGTGTGTCTGCATTCGTGAGGTCCTGGGTTCGAGACCCGTTGGGGCACTTTTATCATTATTCTGCTTGTTATCCCCTTTTTAACCCAAACTTTATTATATTTTAATTAAATTGTTAATATAACAGAAAAATAAACTTGGTTTAGTGGCAAGGCAAGAGAGTTATAACCTAGGGGACATGAGTTAAATCCCTGACTTTACCTTTTTTCTTTAAATTCTAAGTTTCAAGTTTTTGTTAGCCTATTTCATTTAAAACTCATATGAAAATCACAAGAAAAAAAATATTATAATTAGGTTTTAATTTTCTTTTTATATGATAAAATCACCAAAAAAATACTAGAATTAGGTTTTAATTTTCTGTATATGATAAAATCACAAAAATATTAGAATTTTATTCTTCTCTTGAGTTTAATATTTATTTACTTAAAAATGATCACAAAAACTATGTAATACTTTCCTTTACTTTGATAGTTGCTTTATTGCTTCTTCTTAGCAGGTTCCCTTAGGAATGTCGTGAAGCGATTGGAATCTCAATTCGATCATTTCGCGTTAGACTTTAGGTTTTAAACTTTAGCATGATAAATCTTAGGATATCGTTTTTGTTGTATGACAACACTAGGTAATTATCTTAAACTCAACCCTAGGCCAAACTTAGCATGCTAACTTAGGTAGACTTTCTTCCTTCAGCTCAACTTTAAGTTCACGCCTTGTATGACAATAATTAGGATTTTTAGTCTCCCATTAGACTCTTTCTTCTTTTGTAAATTAAAACAAAAATTTCTTTTCTTAATAAAAAACCCAAGAACACTTAATCATTATTCAAACTCATTTGACACTCAACAAATTAAATATATCCTCAAAAGGGCATGTTATCTCTGTTCTACCGTGATATCGGTCGTGCCTATTTCCAGAATGCGTGTTAATGTCGCCCACTAAAAAACACCAACAAACCAACATTTTATAGAAGAACTATGGTGTTCTAATTCCTTCACGGGATACATAGCCAAAGCGTTGCGAGACCCTCACGAACGCACTAATAAAAAACATTTCATTCCCCTTAGAAATTATAGTTATATATAGACACACCCTTAGAAGCAAACAATCAAAATGGATCTTGTTGAGTACAACAAATATGAGGGGTGCTAATACCTTCCCCTCACATAATAGACTTATGTACCCTCTCTTTTGGTTGAAAGACCATTTTATCCATCCTCTTGGGGTTTTTTTGATATTCCCCCTTCCTTCGGGATAAATAAATTTCGGTAGTGGCTCTATGTTTTTAGTCGGTCGCTTCAGTTAAAGACTCTGTTGGGGACTATGCAAGTCTATCCTAGTTTTGTTTTTTTGATTCTTTGGGTGTTTATTTATTTACTTTATTAGCTTTACCACTTTATTTATTTATTGCTTTAGTGCTTTATTGCTTTATTTTGTATATATTTCATTGTACTTTTTGTTACTCACATATTCTGGATATGATGTATCTTTTGTGATGTTGGGGTGGGTGATTACATTTGATAAGTTCCATATCCGGACTTGGGGTTACACTTAGAATTAGAACGGGCGGTATAGTCATGTTTACTTTGAGGGATTAATACCGAAGAAGGAGGCATGAGATCCCCCACTCAGTGGAGGTCCCCTTTGTTAGATGATGTGACGGATCTAGAAGAGGGTTGAATAGATCCCTTTTAAAATTTTGCGCTTTTTTTAAAATCGTTTTTATCAGAGAGCAACAACCCTGAATCTGATTGTCTAAACTTTACGTATTGGAGAGATCGAATATGCAAACCAATTTGATGAAAATGATGAGAATAGAATCACAACTAAAATTGAATATGATGAATCGCTTTAGCAATTTTTAACAAGTTGTAAGTTATTACCAATTAGTTGCGGAGAAGATAAAGCAAATTTGTGAGTTGTAAATTCACCAAACACTTGGTGTGCATACTACACAAGGTTTGTTTATACTTAAATTGTAGTGATTATAGAAATTCAAATGAATTCTATATGAGGTGTAAAGTTTTAGTTTGTCACTACAATTATTTTGTATGAATGAAAGAATTGATAACTCACAAATTCAAGAAAATAGAAATAAAATGCATAAAACTAAAATGGACACGGTGTTTGTTAAAGCAGTTCACCCTGTCGTCCTCGCGTGGGATACTATTCCCCCAATTCTAGAATCTAAAATTAGGATATGAAATTAATTTTGCAAAGTTTGTAAGAGAAGATACAATCACCACAATTCAAAGTCACTTGATGAATCTTATATGTTTCACTCCTCTTCCCTTGATTCTAGATGAATCAAGTATGCCAAATCTTGAACAAAACTCCTTCTACCTTGAATGATTTTGAACTCAATAAATTGGCCCCAAATCCTTCTTCACAATCCTCTGGTTACCACTACCCGATTGAATACCCCACGGTCTTCCAATCCCTTAGCTCGATTGAATTCAATGAAACAAAGATTTGTTAAAAAAACCCCCAATTTTGGAGGACAAAACCCCAATGGTTTTATTCAATAAAAAACCCGCAAAGATCTCTACCCAAATCTGAAATTGCACTTTCAATTCGGATGTTATCAACACAAACCCAAAAACTTGATCAACAAGAATGATTGTGTGTGTAATTGTTGATGGTTGATGAGAGGTTGAAGATGAAGAGAGCTCTTGTGTCTATCTTTCACTTTTTCTTGTTTTCTCTTTTTTTGAAAATAGAGGTCAAAGGATATATATAAGTGATTCCCATGATGTAACCACATAACAGAAAAAATGAGACAATATAGCGATGCGTCGGCTCATGCAGGGTGTACAGAAGGCATGCGCCTTCCCGAGCGAGAGAGGTTGAAATTCCTTCAGTCATGCACCGACTTATTATCTGATGCGCCGACTCATGTTTTCCTAGAACTATGCGTCAATGCATAGAAAAGGCGTGCGCCTTCCCGAGCGAGAGAGGTTGAAATTCCTTCAATCATGCGCCGACTCATTCCCTGATGCGCCTACTCATGTTCTCCCAGAACTATGCGTCGATGCATAGAGAAGGTGTGCGCATTCCCGAATGTGTCCAAGTCAAGATCTTCTTATGAGCTGACCTAAGGTTCCATGAGCCGCCTCATGCAGTCTGTTTTGAGAAAAATGCTTGTTTTTTATGTTTCTCACTTGCACCTGTTTGAAGCATGACATATTTCCACAGATAGGTTTTTGACAAGCATTAAAACTCAGTTCTTTCACTTTTTCCCTCACATACTCCCCCTTTTTGATGATTGCAAAAACCGCAAATATGAATCGTCTCAATGGTTGCGACTCATCCAATCATCCTCCCCCTAAGATATTGCTTATTTCTGTTGTGATTGTGTATTCCTTTCCTTCTCCCCCTTTG